AAAGAGGGGAAATCATTTATATATGACTATGAAAAGGAAAGATCGGGGGTTCATAGATGCAGTGTGTGGTAAGGAGTCATCCAGCCACTATTAGAGCAGTTTAGTGCTGGAATGGACCAGCGAACACATTCTCCCACCATGCTGAATGTCAGTCAGGCCTTAGTTAAGACTTTGGAGCCGTGGCTTGAGGCTCTGCAGCTTAGGGTTGAGAACACTGCAGGGCGGACCAGAAGAAAAGTCCCTTACTTAGACGTGCCTTAGGCCCACTGTGTGGCCAGCACTATGCTAGGACCAGGTGGGGTGAGGAAAGCTATTTGAAAAAAATACAAAGTCCCTCACCACAGAGAATTTCTACTATACCTGGGGAGAGGAGACTTACTCAGAAGAACACTTAGGGAACACAGTGATGAAAGATATAATTAGCTGTGCAGTTGGGTGCCGTGAAGTAAATGGAAATTCAGGAACAGTGCGGGATGATATCATCGTGGGCCTGAGTCATCAGAGAAAGTTCTGTGAAGGAGGTCAGACTTGAGTTGGCCTTTGAAGCATAGCTGTGATTTGGATTTGCGGGGAGGAGGAGAAGGAGGGGGATCCCAGGTAGAGGACGTAGCATGAGCAAAGACATGGGGGCCCAAATGAGTAGGGTGGCTGGGAGGACAGGAAGGAGAAGAGCTTGGCTGGAATGTAAGACTTGTACCAGGGAAGGAGTAGGGATAGGCTGGGAGTGTGCAGGTTGAGAGAGAGCCTTGAACGTTCGGTGAGGGATTGAGACACAATCCCAGAAAGCACTCTTTTTTTTTTAACAAATTTATTTATATTTTATTTATTTTTGGCTGCGTTGGGTCTTTGTTGCTGTGCGCGGGCTTTCTCTAGTTGCGGCGAGCGGGGGCTACTCTTCGTTGCGGTGCGGGGGCTTCTCATTGCAGTGGCTTCTCTTGTTGCAGAGCACGGACTCTAGGCATGCGGGCTTCAGGAGTTGCGGCACATAGGCTCAGCAGTTGTGGCCCGTGGGCTCTAGAGCGCAGGCTCGGTAGTTGTGGCGCACGGGCTTAGTTGCTTCGCGGCACGTGGGATCTTCCCGGACCCGTGATCCCTGCATTGGCAGGCGGATTCTTAACCACTGCACCACCAGGGAAGTCCCCAGAAAGTACTCTTTTGATCAGGAAAGTGATGTGATGATTTGGGCGTGTTGAGAGATTAACGTGGAATTCATGGAGAGGATGCGTACAGAAGGTGACAGAAGACTTGAGACGGGCCCTGCCAGTAGCCTGTTGCAGTGAAGTACAGACTGGGGTCAGAAAGGTGTAAGGAGCAATAGAAAACAACAGTCTTCAAGACCCTGACGTGTTACTGGGGACCAACAACAGTGATAAGCAGAACCACCTCAGTGGTGTCTATGGAATGCCTACCTTGTGCTGAGACTGTGTTTCATTTTTCATAAGAGAAAACCAGCTACAACAGAATTGAAAAATTCCTAACCACGAAGGGTAGGAGACACTAAAATGGGGTGTTGTCTTTGCTCCTCATTCCCCAACCTAGAAGTCTGTCAGAAGCCAAAAAGGCTCTTCTGGTTGGTGACAGGAGGAGTGAATGAAATGGCCTGTTGATGTTTCTTTGGGGTCAGGGACCTGGGGCTCATCTGCCCCCCGCCTCTCCCACAGCCCATGCCTTGATCTCTGTGCCTCCTTGTCTTTGTAGGTTTTCCCACCAGACACTGCAGCAGACACCCATGATAGGCACTATGACCCCACTGGGCGCCCAGGGTGTCCAGGCTGGCGTCCGGTCGGCTTCCATCCTGCCTGAGCAGCAGCAGCAGCAGCAGCAGCAGCAGCAGCAGCAGCAGCAGCAGCAACAACAGCAGCAACAGCAGCAGCAGCAGCAGCAGCAGCAACAGTACCACATCCGGCAGCAGCAGCAGCAGCAGATCCTGCGGGTAAGGCCCTAGGATTTTCGTCTGGGACCTGGGAGCCCGAAGAGGAGGGGGAGGAGGAGGAAGGGGACTGGGAGTGGGAGAGGAGGAGGTGGAGGAGAGGCACAGGCTCTTCCAGGTGGTTTTCAGCACTGAATGAGGCAGTGTAAGGGCATACCCCGGCAGGGCAGCTGGCACGTAGTGGGGGCGTAAGAAGCCAGTTCCTTCCCTCCCTCTTTTTCCGGGGGTCCTGGTGGGAGAGAGTTGGGGGTCATCTGCTTGGTGCTCCACATTTGATTTTCTCTGCAGCTCTCCGGGCGGGGCGGGCAGCGGACCCAGAGTTCCCACCCTGTGCTTCTTCCCCCATCCCCATATCCCTTCACCACTGAGGTTCAGCCCCTTGCTCTCCTTAGACAGATCTCTTCTGTCTTCACAGCAGCAGCAGCAGCAGCAGCAACAGCAGCAGCAGCAGCAGCAGCAGCAACAACAGCAGCAGCAGCAGCAGCAGCAGCAGCAGCAGCAGCAGCAGCAGCAGCAGGCAGCTCCTCCCCAGCCCCAGCCCCAGTCCCAGCCCCAGGTAGCTGCTGGACTCCAGCCCCGGCCTCTGGGACAGCGGCCCAGGCTGGGGACAGTGTGCAGCCATGGCGAGGCGGGAGGCAAGGCAGGGCCCTCCTCCGAGAGCTGGGGACATGAGGACGGGGAAGGAAGGGGAAGGTTCGAGTTCATTCTTCCACTTCCCATCTTCACCTCAGTTCCAGCGCCAGGGGCTTCAGCAGACCCAGCAACAACAGCAGACAGCAGCTTTGGTCCGGCAGCTCCAACAACAGCTCTCCAGTAAGCCCGCCTTTCTTCCCAAGGAGAGCCCCACAGAATAACTGGGGGGCCGGCGGAGCGGGGAAGGCCAAAGTAGCTGAGGCGATTGCTTCAGGCCCCGGTTGTGAGGGGAAGCGTTGCCTTCCATCCCTTCCCTCGGTGCCTGAATGGCTCTCCTCAAATGCAGACCGCCGCCGCCCCTGCTCGGCCTCCCACCCCTGATAATCTCTGGTTTTTCACAGATACCCAGCCACAGCCCAGTACCAACATATTTGGACGCTACTGAGCCACCTGGAGGAACTGCTTGTGCACTGGATGGGGCCCCACCCTTTCCTCTTAATTCCCAGTCCCCTTCCTGGGCTAGCACCAGTAGTGGTTGGGGCTTTTCCCTCAGGCTCCATTTTTAATGAGTTTTTAGTATTTTTGTTAATGTGAGGCATTGAGCTGTTGGGTTTTGTATATTATTTATATAGAGACCCCAGAGCTGTTGCACCCAATACACAGAGCTTCTTTGCAAAGGGGAGTGTGTGAGTCTGCATGTCCGGGAAGGGCGGGCTCTCGGAAGGGTGCGGGCCGGACCAGCAAGTCAGCACCTTCATTCTGTTCAGATCATCTCCCCTGTTTACCTTCCACCCCCTAAATTTCTGAATTCTAATTGGCTTACTACCCTCTCTTTTCTCCAACCTGTCAACGTGTTAAGGGTTGGGGCCTTAGTCTCTCAGTAAGGGCGGTTCACCTTCTCAGCTAGATGGTGTGGCTTCTATATAGTTTGTCTCCATGGGAGGATACACCGCTGGGATTGGTAGGGGGCCGCTGGGCCAGAGGAAAAGTCACTGGAACCTGATTCTCCTTCCACCCATCCCACATGCTGGGTCTTGAACAAGCTTCGAGGTGGGGGGTGACAGACACTGCTTACCCTTTTTGCCACCTTCTGTGGTCCCCATAATGTTCCAAGTGATATCCTAGATAGGGAACTTCCCTGAGTCACATTTCTGGGATGAAACATTGCCCTCCATTGGCAAGTGTCGCCACCACATAGGTGGTGGAAGGACAGTATGGTTCTAGGAGGAAGAGAAACCAGCAAAAGGAAGCATCCTTTTCTCTCTCTGCTCTGTTGCTGGAACTTCTTGTTTTCACATGACCCACCTTGGCAGTTACCCAGTGTGACCTGCTCACTCCCATTTTACAGTAGAGAAAACTCAAAACTGTTGCTCCAGGGTCACGTTTGGAACTGCAGCAGGACCATTCTCAGCCCCCTTGCCTTCAGGTTTGGGGCCCTAGATCTAAGGCTATCCAGTAGAGCCAACTGGTTTACTACCATGGAGTCTTCTGGTATGCCCAGGCTGGAGCTGGAAGAGGGCTAGCCCCAGCCTCATGGGTGGATGGTACCAGATGATCTGAAGTTTCAGGATACCGTCCAGGTCGTAGTTGCACTCTATTACTGGGAAGTGTCAAGTGTGCTGGTAAAACCAGGAGCACCAGTCAATACCCAAGTTACAAAAAAAAAAAAAATTCCCTCTTTGAGGTCCATGAAGCCCTTGCTCAGATGGGACTTACCAAGTTTAAGAGTTGTGTACACAAGGAGTGGAACTCCCTGACAGGGTAAAGTTGAACATGATTGAAGTTTTCTTCTGCCCTGTCCTATCCTGACAGAAACATTCTGAGGAGCTATAGGGGTAGAGGCTTCGCTGGGATAAGGGACACTCAGAGGGGCTTGGGGTGGGGGGCTACTGAAACTGGACAGGTGCACTACACACAGAAACACAAGACACAAAGACAGCCAGATCTGGAGGAGAGAGACTGAAATGGTCCGACAACTGGCACGCTGACAGCCGGAGTGTGACATGCCCCAGCAGAAAGGAACAGCATTGACCTTTGGGAAAGTGACAGGATGAGGGCAAAGTGCCCCTCCCCCCCCCCACACCTCCTGGTTGCTGCTTGAGTGGTGCTGGTGCTGAGGAGAGCTGAGGGATGCCAAGTGAGGTGGAGGTAGGTCTTCGTGGAGTGTGACTGGGGACTCCTGCAGGCAGTGCCTCAGTTTCTCCCTTTGTTTCAAGGTCTCAAGCTTTGCAGGTAAAGTTTGGACCAGCTGCCCCGGAAGATCACCTGACTGTGACCTGAGGGGTGTGAGAGAGAGAGGGTGGGGAGAGAGCTTGAGGAGAGCGTGCTTGAGCCTGGGAGGAACTGGGCCATGCCCCAGGACTTGAGCCATCTCTGGCACAAAAGGAGTTAATGGCAGGGACCGCGCCCCCCCGTGTCCGGGCACGCGCAGCGCGCCCCCTCGGTGCGCGGGCACAGCAGCCAGGCTGCCGGAGAGCAGATCTCGGGGATTCGGGTGCGAAGCCCTTGGCCTGGAGGCGATATGGGTGGTCCGTGGCCCGGTTCAGTCGCTCGCAACAGCCCGGGGAACAGGTGAGGCCGCCTGCCCCGGTCTCTCATCCTCTAGCTGCCCATACCTTGCCCTGATCCTATCCCCCTCCCCCAATCCTGGGGTGCTCCACTTCCCAGTCAGTGCTCCCCATCCATCTCAACCCCACGTTCTCCATCAGCACCCCTGACCCCCCAATCCTCCCCTGCTTTTCTCCTCCACCTCCTCCCTGAATCCCGCACCCTTATCATCCTCCCGCCCATGGTCCCTCTGTTTCCACAGCCCGGCCCGCATGCTCATCAAAATACCCCTCCTGAAGGCCCCCAGCCCCATTCCTGTATAGTACATTGCCAGTCCCCCCTCCCCCGCAGTGCAGCCCCATCTCTCTTCCATCATAGCATCTCACAGCCAGGCTCCCTCCCCCACTCTCTGCAGGCCCCCCCCAATGGAGGCCTTTATCCTATCCTCCCCCATTCCAATGCAGCTCCGTCCCCCAATACCATTCCGAACCCGCATAGCCCCCAATACTGCAGTTCTTGACACCAGTCCATTCCTGCACAATGCCCCTAGCCCAATACTGCTCCAGACCAGAAGGTACCCCCAGATGCCATTCTAATCCCCGGCATTGCCGCCTCCCCTTGTCTTCTCCCAAATTGCAAGTTGGACCAGGATGGAGATCTTGGCCTTGAAGACTCACAGTGGGTCCTAGGGTACAAAGGGCGTTTGGGGGTCGGTCGATTTGTCTAGGTGTTCACGGGGGGAGGGGCTGCAGGAAATTGACTCAAAGGAGAATGGCATTTGGTGCTGAAGGGTTACTGGAGAGGGAGGCATCCCGAAAGGGTTAATGGAATTTGCGGGGAGGGGCGGCACCGAGGGGGTTAATGATGTGTGTGTGGGGGGGGGTTGCTGGCGGGGAAGCCGTGTGAATGAGCGGTCTGTGCCCCGGAGTTGCCATGGAGACAGTGAATGGGGGGATTGTGTGAACTCAGCTGCGGGCTATCCCCCCCAACACACACACACACACACACACACACACACACACACACACACACACACACACACTCTCCTT